GTAATTCCCCAGAACTTGTTTTTTTTTCGATCCAACCACTTAACCTTCACAATGTGTCTATTTTGACTCAAAGCAAAGCACTGAGTTTTATCTTGTTCTTGGCAGTTTGACATTACAACAGCGTTGCTGGTTCTCAAGGTGAAAGTATGTACATCTACCTGTACCACCCCAGCCCTGACCTACCTGCACTGTTCTTGCCACTACCAAGCCACGCTCAGGTTATGACCCTCAACCTGCACCAGCACCACTCAGCAAAGCTAAAGCTTCACAGTAACACCCAGCTATACAACCCTAGGGAGAATCGAAAGTGGAAATACACGACTCAGTAGAAACAGACACATCACTCTCACAACATATATGCAGTAAAAAAAAAAAAAAAACCCACAGTAATCTGACAAGGATGACACTTCTGACACTTCTAGCAGGAAGCATTAATAAATTAGGAAGAGAAGCTGTTATTCACAAAGAGATCGTTTTCTCCAGAACTCATTTGTAATCTGTATAAAAACAGCAATTGGACAACAAATAAAGTTACTTCATTGTTAGGAAGATGCTATAGTCTTGCCTTCCACAAAGTGAGCAAATAACCACGTCCCCCTAACACAATGACAACAGCACTATTACTGCTAGCACCGGTGATGGCTGTAATACCCAGCTCAGAGACCTATGCAAGCACAGAAAAAAAAAGACCATCAAATAACTTTAGACAAGGTTCTTAAAGGTGGCATTTGACATATGGATCAGAATAATTTAAAATTAAGAGGTAGAAACCTCTTTGATACAGCCAAAGTAAGGCTCAGTAAATAAATACGCTGCAGTATCAGCTAACAATAAGCAGAGCTGAGCTGGCCCAGTACAATGTGCTTGTTCTGTTCTTTGGAAGGTTCCACTCTGCTACACACAAGACCACTTGAGAAGCCCAAAATTAAAAAATACTGCCCTATCAACCATGTTTCTCCATCATCACCCAACGCTTTGATAACCACGGCAACACGTTTTACAAGAACAGAAAAGCCTCGGTGCTACCTACACGGCTCTCTGACGGGAGGGCTGCACCGTTCAGCCTTGAAAAACAAAAACGGCGTGAAAAAGAGCTGGAGGAAGAAAAGCGCCCCCTCCTCCTCTCCCTCCCCGCCCCCGGGCCGAAGGGGCCCGAGGCGCGCGCTGCTTCGCGCCGCGCTGCGCGCAGAGCCCTGCCCGTCCGCGCACCGGCTCCGGGCCGAGCGCCGGCGCCT